GAACGGAAGTTGTGATGCATTGTGACACGGTTTGCTTGGACCGTTTCTCGGTCGTTTGGTTGGTCGTAGTTGGTTTAATCCCTTGATTTGATCATGTTTCATGTTTGATGTTTGTCTTGAGCTAGAATCGAGATTTGGCTAGTAAAATGCACACGTTATAGCCATGCGTGGTGTTCTCTTGTATGAACTTTGCTATTGATCTGCTAGTGATGCGGGTGCAGTAAGAGCCGACTTATGTTAACAGCTATCCCCTCGTCCTCGCTTGATATTAGTAGGTTTACTTGCTGAGTCTCCCCGACTCATCCCTCGTTATTTCCTTTTCAGGTCCGAAGAATGGCATATCTCCCGACCCGGTTTGGCAACCCCGTGGAAATGAAAGCCGAAGTGCTCACCATGATGATGCTCGAGAAAGCCGAGCCTACCGTCGGATCACGACGTATGTGATGGTCAATGAGGCCCTAATGGACTTGGTGCCTCACCTGTACGTAGCATGGCATGATTACACTGACGGAGAATGAGTTAGACCCCTACGTGGGTTCAATGGACTTTTTTCTACGGCACGGGCAAGCCGGCTCCAAGGCATGCCACGGGTGGGGTGTAGATTGGCCATGCGGACGGGAAGCGGGGAGGAGATGTGAATGAAGTTAGAAGCGAGAAGATGAAGTAGAGGGGATAGGATCACCCAAGCCAAGTTTTGTTATTCATAGTCGGCTAGAAACGAATGAGCCTCTAGAATATGCGTGTGAAATATGTGTTGTTTGCCATGGCCCGCAGGGCTTGTTAAAATATGTTTGCATGCACTGTAAATATAAGGTTTGGTCATGATGCTGCTCGTCTAAATTCCGCTATTGTTCTGAATGTGATTGTCCCGAAATTATGTTTCCGCTTGTGTGTAAAGAAAGATAATAATGAACGGGACGTCACATTAATGACCCCGAGGTGGGGGCGTTACACAAGTGATCTTTTTTTGCCGGAAGTGGTACTTAAGTGAGCGAAAAAAAAGTTGTGGCACTCCTAGTGTTCTTATCCCTCTTTAGTTATGCCTCCGATCCCAACATCACCTATCGCTCATTACGGTGCTCCCGTTGATTTTGAGGGGGAGCTATACTAGTTTACAGACCCTGATTTCCCTTCGGTTATATTCGTGCGCTATACCGCGACACTATGGGTGGATGTTGGAGTTCCGGGAGGTCTTGTCCCATATTGTTTCGTTTCGACCTTTGTGCTTGTGGACGGTCAGCTGGTTGAACCGATCCCCTACCTTGATGGTGGCAGTAGTGATGATGGTGATAATGGCGAGGAGTAGTTAGTGGGAGTTGGTGTAGTAGACGCAGGGGAGACAACTTTTGAGATATCACGATAGTGACTTTTTGGTGTGGTCTAATCGATCGGGTGAGTGATGACGAGTGATAGCCGAGGAGGCTTCGTCCAGTGGTGGCTAGGGAGTATATAACTTTTTGATTCCTCCCTACTACACCAACTCCTATTGACTACTCCTCGGCATTATCACCGTCATCACTACTGCCACCATCAAGGTAGGGGATCGGTCCAACCAGCCGACCGTCCACAAGCACGAAGATCGAAACGAAACAATATGGGACATGACCTCCTGGAACACTTAGCATCGCGGTATAGCGCACGAACATAACCGAAGGGAAATCAGGGTCTGTAAACTAGTATAGCTCTCCCTCAAAATCAACAAGAGAACCGTAACGAGCAATAGGTGATGTTGGGATCGGAGGCATAATTAAAGATCTGTAAAAATAGATATCAACGGGAGTGAGCTAATGCTCAACAAGAGATAAGACTAGATTATAAATCGACGGATCCTACTAACTCTCAATTCCTAGGACACATCTAACATAAAATAATTAATGTTTCCTATCATGAACGCACACTATCTAAAAGCAACATCAGTAATCACAAGTATCATGCCAGCATGCATCATAGCACTAACCATATCAAACGTCCTCAATCAACTCATTTCCAGATCATAGCAATCTATAAGAACAACTTAATAATTTGCAGGCATACCACAACCACATGCCACATTATTTCAATGTTTCACTTGTTTAGTCTCATGCCTAACTCATGGATTACGCTAGTTATTCACTGGTCCGCGCAAGGCACTCCAGATTATGCCGATTTACTAATTGGCTTGGCTTTTGTGGTTTATCGACCACAAGTATCTCTACTCCGAGGCATCGCAATTTTCTAATCACGACATCCCCGCACACAGCTCAGGGGCATCCTGATCTCCTATGGGGCATCATCGGCGCAAGGCCCGATGGACATCTTTTATGATGAATTCATATCACACAACTCAAGCACTTTCCTTTATACACGCAGCAACAAAACCATTTCACGCCATACATTTTATCATAGCTAGCAAATACATTGAATAACATGCACCTTAAGAGTGTTTTAACACCTGAGCATCACACATTAGTCATGCACATCCCAAAATTTTTCAGAATTTGTTATCACAAAAGTGACCTACTTTGCACAATCATATCACATCACATTGAGATCAATCACATCTCATTGGAATGCTCAGAATGTATAGATTTTATCTCCAGAAGACATCAAATTGAAATTTCAACGTTCTCATATAGAAAATGATGAATTTTTGCAATCTGGCAAAACTAGACGGTTTTGCACTGTTCATGAAATCAGAATTAAAAATATAGTACATGGACTCTGAAAATTCTAAAATTTGAATATGTCATAAAAAAAATCTTAACAAACATTTTTCATGAGAACACAAAATTTGGATCTTTCTGTAAACACAACTTTTAGTAGCTCAAAGACAGACCAAAAACAGTTCGCTGGAACAGAATCCTTGCTTCTCAAAGTAAGCTCTTTTCAAAAACCAAATCATCTCGAAAAATTCCCAAATTTTTATATGTTATATATAAATAAGTTCTCAACAAATTTTGTGAGGAAATTTGTTAAGAATCATTCTATAAAAACTTGTGGAAAATCAAGAAGGTGTAAAGGTCACAGAAACAGTAACACTGGATGGTTCAAACCTGATTAGAAAGTGATCCTTCGTACAAACAAAATCAACTTAGAAAAATATAAATTTAAAGTATGTTATACTTCAAGATGTTGGGAGAAACTTTGATGAAGAAAGTTTCTTAAAATTCGGTCCACAAAAATCTCTATAAAAATAGTAAACCGAGGAGGTATAGTAACAACGAATCTGGGTTTCAAAATCAAACTTCAAGGATTCAAACTCCAGTTGATACCCACGAATTTTCATCCCACAAAACTCAATCCAAAAGATCTAAACCAACATGCAATAGCCAATCTTACCTTTATTCAACAACCTAGACCCATCTTCTTCACATGCAACTCAAATTGAACATCAAAAACACACATGCTAGGCTACTAATGATCATAGAATGCACATGCAACCATTCTAGATGTCAAGAACCACACATGCACTCAATTTCCAGGTCTGGTCATACCCATACATGCCCAACAAACTCAAGAACAGCACATGCAAGTCATAAAAATGCATCCATAAATTATTTCTAACAAAACCAAGGGTGTAGGAACATTGATAGGCTTAGAATCAAGTCTCATCTCCTTGCCTTGAAGATCTAAAAGCTAGAATCTTTCCCTTCTATCTGCTGGTAGGTTCTTTAAGCTTGAGAATAGAGGAAATTAAGATGAAGATGAAGATGGAGATGGCGGTGAGAGGAGGTGAGAGTGAGCTGCCGAGAGAGAGAGAGTAGAGAGGGAGAGTAGCTTGTGGTGTTCTTGTGAAGAAAATGAAGGGGAAGAGAGAGCGAGATGGCCGTAGGTTTAAGGGGGAAGGGGAAGTGAAAGACAATGATGGTTCATCATCATTAGCTTCAAGGGAGAGTGTTAAGCCGACCTTGTCATTGTGCATGAAATTTTAGTGGTTGAAGTGGGTGGCCAACAATGATTATAAGACCAAGTCCTCAATGCTTATGCCCATATCCCTTGAGGTTGGTTCTAAAGCCTCTTTTGTCTAAAAAAAATACTTTTGACATGTATAAAAAATCAAAGTATGGTCCTCAACATGAACAAAAAATAACATTATCACTTTGACCGATACAGAAATGGTGTAATTTTTATATTGAATTCTAATAATTTAAATTTTTTTTTACCCCAAAACATAAAGTGCCTGTCCCACGTAGAATTGAGAACCGAATCAAAACCAACGGGTTCACCTTTCTAAAGCCTTTTTGTTCTTGTTCGTCAGTGTAGCACTCACTCATGTCTCCACGTTGCTCATATGTCATGCCAAATCGTAGCCCACGACTCAAGTGCTTGAGCTCCCTCACCGACTTGGCGAGCTGGCCTGTGAAGTCTCCCATTCTTCAAAGACAACGATTTAAGGAAAAAAATTATTATGAATGGGAGCTTGGGTTAGGTCTGGTATAGGGCTATTGTTCTTGAGAAATGACTCAGTTTGGGGGTGGGGCCTAGAGAAAGAAAGGTGGGTTCGGATCGGGTTGGATATGGGTCACTAAAATTTTATTGCATAAAAATGGATCAATACGGGTTCAATTGATCAATTTAGGGACGCCGAGATAGAAACTTTACAAAATTCAAGTTAAGTAGATCTTGGATAAAAATTTCAAAGAGCATATTGTAGATATTATATAATTGAGTCATCAAGCATCCACGATAAAGATATACTTCACGCTAGCTCTGTAGGTGTCCCTGGAGCAAAAGATCTTTAAAGCGAGTGTCATTGAGGCACTAAGAAAGCATACTTAATGAAAAGGAGCATGGCGTCTTGTGGTGTAGACAGCAGGGCTACACCGGTAGGGAAGCTTGGGCGGTGGCCCGGCGGTGGGTGTAGAGGGAGGCGAAGGGGAAATGGTAAAGAAGAGATAGGAAAAACAGGAAAAAGAATTCAGGACGTTCAAACTGTACTTGTATTGATGCATTTACAAACTACAAAACATATCACTGTCACTGCGGAAAAGCACATAAATAAAAAGATATGTTATCCTAAACTGAATAACCCTTTCTATAACTCAAAGGGCACAAGGCCAACTTAAGAGAAGCCAAACCTGTTGAGGCGGTAGAGACAGAGAGAGGTTGTCGTTGACTAGACCCCAGAAAATATGGGAGGAAGAGGAGGAGGTCAAGAAATTGATGAAGCAGCTCTTCTTGAATCTCCTCTGATCCAAAACCGAATCCAAGATCGCGTACACGACAATGGGGATGACAACCGAGCACATTCATACAGCTTGGTTCGAAGAGATGGGAAACGTGCGATCATAATCGAAGAAGTGAAGAAGCAGGTATGGCTGTCGGGGCCGCTGATCGGAGTGAGCATGTTGCAGGAGAGCGTGCCAGTGATCTCCACCATGTTCGTGGGCCACCTCGGGAAGCTCCCTCTCTCTGGCGCATCCATGGCCACTGCGTTCGCTTCAGTCACCGGCTTCAGTGTCTTGGTATACTCTCCATTTCATCACTTTCTCGTCCTCGTTAATTATGCTGCGACATTCATGTTCCTATTAGTTCATAGCAGTAGTTGCCGTTGTTGTTGTTGTGGTGGTTTGCCATTGTCTCTGATAATGGTCTTACTGGTTAAAAGACAGGAATAGACGAAGTAATTGAGGAAAATGTGTATTGAAGAAGACAATAACTCAGCACAAGATACAAAAATTGAGCAAGATATGATATAAATCGACATATCGAAACACAGTTTTTTAGGTACAATGCACATTCTTACTGTAACATTTTCGAACTGAAAAAAAGTTCGATTGGTTGCCTTGAGATGGCATTCGGGTGCTAAATATGAAGAAGTCATGGTAAAACTTTTCTGAGACTTATCTCGAGTTTTCACTATCCTGGTCTCTAAGCATATATCATGCTTCTCTGGTGTTAAATTTCCACGCGCGACACCGCTCGCAAAAATAACATGCTACATCTGCTCAGATCAGCTATTCTTTGAGCATAATTCACAGGTTGTGTGAACTTAGATTTTCATTTTGTTCGCAAACTAATTTGTTGTGATTTAAATGTCTGATGATAGTTAGGAATGGGAGGTGCATTGGAGACATTGTGTGGCCAAGCCTATGGAGCCAAACAGTTTCGCATGCTTGGAGTTCACACGCAACGAGCTATTCTTACGCTTCTATGCCTAAGCATCCCTCTTGCAGTCATATGGCTCTACACCTCCGACATTCTCATGGCTTTTGGCCAAGACGTCGAGATCTCCACGGAAGCGGGAATTTTCAACCGTTGGATGATCCCAAGTCTGTTTGCGTATGGCCTCCTCCAATGTTTGAACCGGTTCTTGCAGACGCAGAATAATGTTTTACCGATGATGATGAGCTCTTTGATTACTGCTTCTCTTCACATAGTCGTCTGTTATGTCTTCATCGTTAAGTTCAGACTAGGAATCAGGGGAGCTGCTTTGGCGAATTCGATTTCAAATTGGAACAATGTGATTCTGCTGGTGATTTACGTGAAGCTCTCTCCCGCTTGCATCAAAACTTGGACCGGTTTCACCAGAGAGGCCTTGCGGGGCATCGTTAGCTTCATCAAGCTTGCTGTTCCTTCAGCAGTTATGACTTGGTGAGTACTTATTTATGCTTACGTTAATTAATGTAATGCCAAAATTTATGACAAGAGAAAAAATTAGCGGTTGTTTTGTTATTTTGAATTGTTTTGATGATAATTGATCTAACTGTAAATCTATGTCCCAATTTCAGAGGTGAGAGTCAAAGCCTTGACTTAGTGTACTCACATCACTTGTCTCTTGATTTACTTTCTTTCGCAGTTTCGAGTACTGGTCCTTCGACATGGTCATTCTTCTATCGGGCCTTCTCCCAAATCCAAAACTAGAGACGTCTGTATTATCGATAAGGTATGAAGTGAAAATCACTGAGCAATTAGAAGCATTACAACCAGGACTTTCCTTTTTCACGGAATGATAAGTTCAGAACTACCTTCATGTCCTTGTTTTTGCAGCCTCAACACTTGTTGGATGGTCTACATGATATCTGTCGGTCTCGGCGGAGCAATCAGGTTCATTGAGTTATTCGCTTCGCTTGCAACTTATTATGAATAAGAAACAAAAAGAAATAAAGAGAACTAATCTTGCTTGGCATTACCTTCTCCTGGATGCATTTCCAGAACTATCAGTTGAGGGTAAAATAAATCAGATTCTGTGAGGACAAGTCTCACAATGCTCTTGATGCTGTGGTACGGAAGGAAACAACAGCATTGACTGCCAAATGTTTGATCATCTGTTTATTTATCGAGAATTAGATAGAATATAAATATCTGTTGTTGATCCTAGCTCATACATTTGGACAAAAACGAAAAATGTTAATATGTAAAACTCTCCGTGCTCATTTTGTGCAGTACTAGAGTATCGAACGAACTAGGTGCGGGCCGCGCTGCAAGCGCCCGCTTGGCATTGCGAGTTATGATTGCCATTGCCATCATGGAGGGCGCAATAGTTGGAATCATGACGATTTTGGTACGCCATGTTTTGGGGAAGCTGTGCAGCAACGAAGAGGAAGTTATCGAGTACGTCGCCAGAGTTTTGCCAGTTCTCGCTTTCTCGGATTTCTTGGACGGGTTTCAGTGTGTCCTTTCAGGTCCTAAATTTGACTCCTCTTAATTGTATTCTCATTCTATTACCGGCTAGTTTTAGGGTAGTGTCACGTATGTATCTCAGATCTCCTGATTACAAATAGCACAGGAATTGTTGGTCTTAACCTTTTCACTTGCTGTCGGATTACCATTTCAAGTCCTTCACATACATTATGATAGTGATCGATCACAGGGTCCGCAAGAGGATGCGGATGGCAGAACCTCTGCGTTTGGATAAACCTCGGGGCATATTACGTTGTGGCAATTCTGTTTGCGTTCAGTTTCCATGTCGGAGGGATGGTATGAATCTCTCTACACGTTTGTGCACGCGCCGTGCACGCGCCGTGCTAAATACTCGTCTGTTCCGCATCGGGCGATGACCAAGTGATTGATCTTGAAACAGGGTCTATGGATGGGGATCATATGCGGACTCTCTGTACAAGTCATGGCACTCGTCGCAATGATTGCACGTACCAACTGGGATCAGGAGGTACTTAACCCCCACCAAGCTCTCTCTTGTGCAAATGGATTGATTCAGTACCTCTTTAATACTCCTGCAACCTTTTTCCTTCTGTTCAGGCAAAGAAAGCCGTGGATGAAGTTACAGCACTAGGAGCCCAGTTTGATGAAGAACAAGAACAGAGCCAGACGTGCTAAATACTGAAATTAAGCTATGGGTTTGTACTGTTATAGTCTCTCTAGAATACAAAAATATAACTTGCTGCGTCTACAATAGCATCATCTGACTGAACAAAACATTTTTACTATATATAAGCATTTGACACGTAGATCCGCATATAATGTTTTCGTAAATTTTTAAAATTTAAAGATTGTTTTAGATTTTGGTGGAAAATTGAAAAAGTTGATTTTTGACTTTTACAAGTCCGAACAAACAAGCACTTCAACTTTCAAGTATTGACTGTGCATATCACGAGAACAATCCGTGCATTGAAGATTATTATATTTTCTTATTTAGTTGTTTAATAAGCATCACGAAGGCATTTATTGAAAAAAAATTATTAAAAAAGGTCCAATCTTTGATCAACTTGACCATCGACATGTTACTCTTTATGTGCTACAAATTTATGCATGTGTTTCACTAGAAATGGGTGTTGACCCAAATAGTGAAAAACAATTTACCAAAGGTTCACCTCTGGGTTTTCTTCAGATGGCTTAACAGTGATTTCTAACAGGAATTGAATTGGTGTGAAAAAGAAGATGAACAATAAACTTAAAAGTAAATGACTAGACTATAAATGATTGAAATTTAAAAGAAATTAATATTGATAAATTAAAAAGGTACATCGGGATTTTGTTCTTAATGATCGTGTACACTACAATAGTTATACACTGCCATATATATAATCTCTAATTATAACCGCCCATTAGAAGTTTTTATACTAAATAAGTTGTAACTACATTTCCAACTTCCAAGCTTTAGGCCTCTTATATGCACGCCGATCTCATCCACAAATGATGGCAACTCCCAAGGCTATCGTCACTCAATTGTCGATTGATAACTTTGTCGTCAATCGACGTGGTAGTCTTCGTGTTCTCCTCTCTATCTAGAACTTAGCTAGATTTAGTTGGCCAACTCGTTGTGCTCATTGTCGACATGTCTAGTTCATTGCCGCTCGACTACTTGTCGATGTCATCTTGTTGTCTATGGCTACATCATTGATGTAGAGATTCACACCTTTATTCGACATCTTCACTTTATTTCCTTTTTTTTTTCTTTGTCCAACACTTAGCCAATTTTGCAACATCGCCACCGATCGGTATTGTTATTGAATCGAGATATTCGTCAATCACTTGTCTTTGTACGCCGATAGCTGTATTTCATAGTCATCGATACTCATCATCCACAATCGTCAATAAGCTCTTTTTAATAATCATCGATAACTGCCTTATGCAATTATTACCGGATAACATGGCCTGTCGATATCGATTCCATTATCAAATTCTATTTGACCAAATTGACTTGGTGTTGATTACGAAGAGTGGTTATTTTTTTATGGGAAAAATTTCAAATAAGGGTCTGAAGTGGATTTTGTGTCAAATAAGGACCTGAAGTGGATTTTGTGTCAAATAAGAACATGAAGTGACTATATCTATTTCAAAGAAGAGCCTAACTTTTCTTGTGGTGAGGGCATTTTCGTCTTTTAATTTTTTTTTTCTTTTTTCGTTTTTTCTGGTTTTCCCTTCTTCCCCGGTGGCTGGTTGCCGACCATCGGCGAGGGTTGGGCGAGGGTCGCCCTCACCCGATCTGGCGAGGGCCGGCTTCGCCGGTAACAAGCGAGGAACGGCCTTGCCGGTAACAAGCGAGGAACGGCCTCAACTAGGTGAAGCGACCCCCTCGCCCATGGCCAGCGAGGGCGGCCCTGCCCAAGGCAAGGGTCGCCTTGCCCAGTCGAGGCCGTCCCTCGCCTATTGCCAGCGAGGGCGACCCTCGACCCACCCTGCCAGGCTTCACCGTTGGCCGGCCGGCCGGTCACCAGCAGACCGACAGGGGAAACCAAAAAAAAGGAAAGGAAAAAAGAAAAAAATTAAATTAAAATTAAAAAAATTGGACGAAAATGCCCTTGACCTCGTCGTTTAGAATATTTCGCCGACCGGTGATCGACGAGACCAGGTCCTTATTTGAAACTCTCATGGTCACTTCATGTCCTTATTTGATACAAAGTCCACTTCAAGTCTTTATTTGAGAAAATGACGGCACTTCACGCCCTTATTTAGAATTTTTCCTTTTTTTATGTAAAATAAAGTAGAAATACCTCAATTTAAAAAAAATGCCATAAGCTACGGAGCTCAGATTTAAAAAAAAAAAAAAAGAACAATCATAAGCTATCAAGCGGAGCCTCAAAAAAACGGCACGTCGTTTAACCCTCTGACCAACCGTTGTGCTTCGGTAACGTCGCAAGCTTTTTCCCATTTCGTTTTTTCTTTTTTTTATTTATTCATTCCATCCAACTTTTTCTGGGATAGAAATGGGAATTCAAAAATTTGTAAAAATTGGAAAACGAAGAAACTTTTTTTTTTTGAAAAAATACGAATATTCCCATTTTGCGATCGCCGCAGAAAATGGGAGGAAATCGTACGCCCCACCGGCCTCCCCCACCGCTGATCTTCCATCCCCGATCGTTCCGACACGTGGACCGCGCGATGACGTGTAAGGCCGCGGAGCCGCGGTCTCACGCTAGTTAGGCGGAGCTCGGCCGTAGAGGATCCCACGCAGCGTTCGCCTCCCCACTGTGCAGCTAAAACACACCCAAAGCAAGCAGAGCCTCCGCTGCAACCCTAGCATTTCTCTCTCCCTCATCTCGGAAGCCCCCAGCCATGGCTTCGCGCAGGCTCTTATCCACGTTCCTCCGATCCTCCGCCCGGAGAGCCAGCGGCAGCCGATCGCCGTTCCCGGGCCCCAAGAGCTCGCCGATCCACTGCCCGCACCACCGCCCCTCCCCCCTCGGGTACCTCCTCACCCGCGCGGCCGAGTACGCCACCGCCGCCGCCGCCGCCCCCTCCCCCGCCGCCCCTCCGGCCCCCGCGAAGAAGGAGGGCGGGAAGGGCCGGATCACGGACGAGTTCACCGGCGCCGGCGCGGTCGGGCAGGTGTGCCAGGTCATCGGGGCCGTCGTGGACGTGAGGTTCGACGAGGGCCTGCCCCCGATCTTGACGGCGCTGGAGGTCCTGGACCACTCCATCAGGCTGGTGCTGGAGGTGGCTCAGCACCTGGGGGAGAACATGGTCAGGACCATCGCTATGGACGGGACGGAGGGTCTCGTGCGGGGTCAACGCGTGCTCAACACTGGCTCTCCCATCACTGTGAGATCACTGTTTTGGATGTCATTTCTGATTGTCGATGGATGCTTGTGTGGTTCCTTTGCGATTCGGTTGCAGCGATGGAAATGTATGATTTTGATGGTGTTGATGCGAGTCGGTGTGCAACCTTGGAGTGCATTGTTGAAAGTAGATCTGGGCTGGCAGAATCAAAATTTTTTTTTGTCAGTATTGCTTTTTGGGGAATGTAGGGGAAGAGACTATTTCGTTCTTTTGGATTTCGAATGATTTTATGAGTAGTTGCCCTCTGCTTTCTCAAATGTTCGCTAAATTACATGAGAAGTTCAACTTTTTCTTTTCCATGTAATTCTTATCGTTTGCCTTCTTTCATCTACTTGTTCTTCCTAATTTCAACTTTATATTTGATGTGATGCTGTAAATAGTCCTACATATCAGTTATTTGTTTAAATTCTGCGGTGTGTAGTATTGTCTGTGTATATAGACTTCAATGCTTCTGTCTTTTTAAAGGAATTGGCTTAGGCTGATGATGCTGTGTGGCTGTTTGAGTAAAAATTATCCCAGTGCAAAAAGCGTTTTTTGAAATGGGTTTGATTCTGCGTCTAGGTGCCTGTTGGTAGAGCTACTCTTGGCCGGATCATAAATGTCATTGGAGAGCCCATCGATGAGAAGGGAGATATAAGTAAGGAACTTTGAGATGCTTAGCTCACTGGATTTGAACTAAAAATATTGTGGTACTCTTGTTATTTCAAGCCATTTGATCTTTGTATTTGCTTTTACTCATCAGAGACGGACCACTTTTTACCTATCCATAGAGAAGCTCCATCATTTGTTGAGCAAGCAACTGAGCAACAGATTCTTGTCACTGGTATTAAGGTAAATGTGCAATTGTGAGCAGCAAGCTCAATTTTTTTTCTCACTTGTGTTTCTTTTTCGTCTTTGAACAATCATGAAAGGCTTTCTCTAGAAGTAGAGATACATCTTTTGTTCTGGCCATAAACTTAATTTACATTTTTCTCATTCCCAGGTTGTTGACCTCCTCGCACCATACCAAAGAGGAGGCAAGATTGGACTGTTCGGTGGTGCTGGTGTAGGAAAAACAGTGCTTATCATGGAACTGATTAACAATGTTGCTAAAGCTCATGGTTAGTCTTATGAAAGTATATGTCATTGAAGATGTAGGTTGGCCTTTTCCTCCAGTTGTTCTAGATGTATTCATTCTTTATTGGTTCATTGTAGGTGGTTTCTCTGTGTTTGCTGGTGTGGGAGAACGTACTCGTGAAGGTAATGACTTGTACAGAGAAATGATTGAGAGTGGTGTCATTAAGCTGGGTGATAAGCAGGTCAGTTGTGTTAGTTACATGTAGTTTTGCTCTTCTCCTTGGCTTTTATGGATCCTTATTGATATTAATTATGCTCTGGTACTTGAAATGATTTATATTTCATCTCCATTTAATGCAGGCTGACAGCAAATGTGCACTAGTGTACGGTCAAATGAATGAGCCCCCTGGTGCTCGTGCTCGTGTTGGTCTTACTGGGCTGACTGTTGCTGAGCATTTCCGAGATGCTGAAGGGCAGGATGTGCTTCTTTTCATCGACAACATTTTCCGATTTACCCAAGTAAGATTGGCTTGGATAAATTCATCAGATTGTTTGCAGGTTTCACTTGCTTATGCTTACTAATGTTTAATTCATGCATTCTTCCAAACGTTTCTGCAGGCCAACTCAGAGGTGTCTGCTCTGCTTGGACGTATCCCATCTGCTGTGGGTTATCAGCCAACTTTGGCTACAGATCTTGGAGGTCTTCAGGAGCGTATCACGACAACGAAGAAAGGATCCATCACATCAGTCCAAGCCATCTATGTGCCTGCTGATGACTTGACAGATCCTGCTCCTGCTACCACTTTTGCCCACTTGGATGCAACAACCGTGCTGTCTCGACAGGTCTTATGATTCTCCTTTGTTCACTTTCAGCTTGTTGTGGTGGTACTCGTGATCATGCTCTTACAATCTAAATTCCGTTTTGAGCAGATTTCTGAGCTCGGTATCTATCCTGCTGTCGATCCGCTAGATTCAACATCCCGCATGCTTTCTCCTCATATTTTGGGTGAAGATCACTATAATACAGCTCGTGGTGTACAGAAGGTTCTTCAGAACTACAAAAATCTGCAGGATATCATTGCTATTTTGGGAATGGATGAGCTCAGTGAAGATGATAAATTGACTGTGGCCCGTGCTCGTAAGATTCAGCGATTCTTGAGCCAGCCTTTCCATGTTGCAGAAGTGTTCACGGGTGCCCCCGGCAAGTATGTGGAACTGAAGGAGAGCATTAACAGCTTCCAGGTATCTCTATTCTCACCCTATCTATTGCACATTTAATCGACCAACGTGATGCCCACAGTACATGCCTGTTCCAAAAATATAATCAAGATCACTAATGGGGAGCTGCTGAGTACAATAACATTAAAATCCAATGACAGTTATATGAAGTAGATGTTGTAGTAACATTATCTTTGTGTATCGACAGGGTGTGTTGGATGGCAAGTATGATGATCTTTCGGAACAGTCATTTTACATGGTTGGTGGAATCGAGGAGGTGATTGCTAAGGCTGAGAAGATCGCCAAGGAGTCAGCATCTTAAGGAAATCATCCTTGTGCCTTCTCTTTTCTTGTTCTTTACTCTTGATTATTGTGAAAATCAATAATTTAGGTGGTGCTGGCGAGTCCAGCAACAGGAGCTTTTTTTTCAACTATGACTAGATCTATCAGGCATTCCTGTTACTGTTTGACTTATATTTTTGAGTGTGAAGAGGGAATGGAGTTGAGATGAGACACCTGCCTGCTAGAACCTTTTTCTCAACGTCACTTAATAAGTGAAAAAAAGAAGGCGGACATGTATATTTGAATTTTTCTTTTCAAGAAATTGGATGCTTAAATTGCAAAAATCCCTGTTTCATGAGTCTGTTGCTGAACGATGTGCCTGACGGTTTTCTCTGTGGTACTGGTACCATACAGATGCATGCTCATGTGTTTGAAACATTGGTGGATGCAGTGTTGTGAGTTGTGAGGTAAGTTTCTTCGGGTGGATAGTAGCTGCTGGCCTGTTTGGCATGACAAACACGATGCTGCTATTTTGTGGAAGTGAGAATAGTTGTCAAGGTGGAAAAATTAGTTTGCGTAATGTTGCTATGATGCCGCGCTGTGTGCCTGGTTTTCCTGAACAAAATAATTACTATTTTCCGTCAGTAAGCGTAGTTTGGATAGTTCCTCCTTCAGTGAATGCACTGAACATGTGGCTTAGAAAACCTCGCGGTTTGTGGGTTATCATATCGGAGAACAGTGTATCTAAACCTCAGTCGTGGCATTGGGAAAGCAATGGAAATGTAAGAGGTAACATGAGATCCTTGGCGTATGCTTTGCTTGTGACACGGTTTATCGATTCCAGGGTGCCTGAGCTTATCATTGTCCCTTTCTACACAAATCCGAGAGTTCACCTTGTGGATTTTACTTATGTGGACATCGTAGATAGCATTAGATTTTGGTATATTCACACACTTCTGTCCTTATATTTGGTTATGTCGTGTATTTGCCATTTCATAATAGGTTGAAATGTTGCTTGATTTGGAAAGACTCAAAGATGAAATGAGGTGCTCCTTTAGTTGATTTAGGGAGAAATCATATGGAATTCTTTCTTAGTGAAATCAATTTCTCATGTATTTGTGTACTGCTCCATGAAAACTAGTTTAACTTCCAACGAGCTGTGCCAGAGGGCAAACAGGTATGTTTAAGGTTTCGTGGCAATCTAAAGAATACCGACATGTCTTCGTAGGCATAAAATCTAGTCACATGTGTTACGCTCGAACAAGGTAGTTTGTTTTTGAGCGGGCGTGATTTGGTTTGGTTCGACGTGGACTGTGGAAAAGCTTGAACTAAATCCAAAACAAGTCAGAACAAAGAGCAAAGAAAACTCTGCCGAATATTTTGCTCCAGATTCAAAATCAATAAACAACGCTTTGATTCGACTCGTAGAGACCTCTCAATGAAATTGTGCAAAGGAATCTTCAATTACGAAAGTGTAGCATGGCTAGCCTAAAGAAGAATATATTATACGTAGAATTTGACAATATTGGTAGGATTATATTGTTAGGTATGTATTAAACTTACACATTCGCCGTTGGATGACTGGTATGTGTGTATGGAGTTAGTTTTTGTAACCGAACTGTTCCACGTGTTCACAATCTAAATGTGATTGTGTAAATTATTTCTTACACCAGCAACGGATCTGATAAATCGATCTTACAAATAGATTTAATTTGTTATAAGAACCACTAGTCGTTCCGCTCAAACATTTAATAAATTTTGTCACGCTAATAAATTTTGCCACCATCGTAGCAGGTGTAGAGCATTCATGATTATCGTAAGGCCGAAAAACGAATAATTAATGTTTGGTCGTCCTTCTCAACGGTCCTTCTCAACGTTTTTACTAATCAGAAAAACCTTGAATATATATATATATAGTAAACTTTTATTATTTCCTAAAATACTCCTGCTCATTAATCATTATTGATCTGAAGAAAAAATGAATTGTTGTATTATTCGCCACTCCGGCTATCTTGGAAGACGGCGGCCTACGGGCGGTCCTTCTCCGACGAAGAACGCAAAAACTCTTCTTATCCATTCCCCTCCTCCCAGTTACCAGGCGACCCCCCGAGAAGCCGCCACGTGGACACCCACTCCCCCTCCCCTCCCCCTCCCCCTCCCCTCGCCCCTCGAGCCCCTATCGTACACACCCACCGCGCACGTTAACCGTCGCCACCTCATCGCCGCCTTCGTCCCCCAAGTTCAGCGCCGCCTCTCTCGAAGCTCCGCCGCCCTACCGACCACCATCTCCCTTCATATACGACGATACGCTCCCCAAACATGTCCTTTGCCCTCTCCCCTCCCGCGCCTCCCCCCTCCATCGCGCCCCATGCGCGCCTTAGTGCCGCCGCCCTCCCCCCCATGTCAATCCTCCGCCGCCTAGCCCCCCTCCACCTCCGCCACCCCTACCACCACCGCCGCCGACGCCTCGCCTCCGTCGCCGCCGCCGCCGCCGCCGCCGCCGTCCGCCAGGACACCGCCGTCTGGACCCCCGCCCCACTGTCCTTCGTCGAGCCCGCCGCCGAGTCCCTCTTCCACGTCACCATCGACGTCTCCGACGCGCCCGAGCTCGCCGGCTCCCACGCGCGGCCCGGGCAGTACCTGCAGCTGCGCGTCCCCGACGCCACCAAGCCGACGTTCCTGGCCATAGCCTCGCCGCCCTCGCTCGCGGCGGCGCGCGGGGAGTTCGAGTTCCTGGTGAAGAGCGTGGCCGGCAGCACGGCGGAGGCGCTGTGCGGGTTGAAGAGGGGGGATGTGGTGGAGCTGAGCCAGGTCATGGGGAAGGGTTTCGACATCGACCGGATCGATCCTCCCGAGGATTACGCTTCGGTTTTCATCTTCGCCACGGGATCTGGAATCAGGTAAGAAGAACTCCTTTTCTCGTTCGCTCGTAGAAATTTGAAAATGAAATCGGTTGTCACAGTGATGTGGTAGGGCCAAAACAAACTAGACCTTGAGCTTTAATCTGCAAAATGGTTTGCTGCTAGTGACCTAATGGGAAAGCTAAGAGTTGTGGTGTAGCTCTGTTTACTTTGGAAAAATTATGTTATTTATGTGGTGTTGAACTGATTTAAGCTGAATGCCATTCTATTTCGGTCGAAACATGGATCGGATGTATTCCAGGTTGTGGTTGTTTGGCAGAATATCCTACTAAAATTGAGGTTTCCTCTTGAAAAATCCGGGGTGCGATGTGAATGTCTCCTCGTACTTCTGAGGAAGTGATTGCCGTAGTTTATACTTCTGATACATTGTTTGACGGCTACTCCTTTTGATGCTCGAGTATATCAACTGTAACTAATTGCTGTAACATTGAGAATTGGATCATAACCATCACCTCAGCGGGCTATGCTGATGACATGGAAACCTCTGTATCTTAAAGCTATATCGGGATCCATAGACTCGGAGGCTTTGCTAGATCAGTTTTGGTTAATAATTGATGCATTGTGAATGATTGATTAACATGTTAACGATCAGGGAAAGAAGTAATTTCTAGCTGCTATTTAAGAGATGGCCAATCTGGAAGTGGGTGATCGAAGTTTGAGCAATTTTTATTTGAGTGTAAGCAAAATTTTGTGTCCTTCACAATTGAACTGTTTTGCCGTGATTAACAATGTCAATCTCCGTGTCTTATCTTATGACGTCAGTCTCTTTATTACAGCATGAGACTGCCTTAGGATTTTGGAGCTTTCATGTTTTGATAGTTTTTTACCTTTTTTATCGCATGCTTTTTATGAAAGTTTTGATCTTCCTTGACTTTTGGTTCTTGTATTCTGCCATTTATTGTGCCTCTAAATATGTGCAAAGTATAAATGTATAACCTAGTCGGTTACTCATAAATATTATCTCTTTCCTTATGCAGTCCGATCCGATCTCTAATTGAGTCAGGATTTGGTGCTGACAAGAGAACCGATGCTAGGCTCTATTATGGTGCTAGAAACCTTCAGAGAATGGCTTACCAGGTTTGAATAATTCGGCGTTTTGTTATCCTTATACAGCTGCTTTTTGTGCTCAAATAGTAATAATAAGATGAGTTCTTTCTTCATTCCCCACAGGATAGGTTTAAGGAGTGGGAATTGTCAGGTGTTAAGATTGTACCAGTATTATCCCAACCAGATGATAGTTGGAGTGGGGAAACTGGCTATGTACAGGTACTGTTATTTGGGTGTTGGGCGTTCATTCAGTGCGTCATACTCGACTAAGTTTATGAATCTTCCTATCCCACCACAGGCTGCATTCAATAGAGCCAAAAGGAATTTTAGCCCTCAGTCGACGGGTGCTGTGCTCTGCGGTCAGAAGCAGATGACAGAGGTTAGATGCTGTTTCATATCTTCCCAATTTGTTCCTTCGTGAGTTGTTCTGGAATCTTGGTGAGCATGACAATGTAGCTTTCTTTTGGCGAATTTATTCCTTTTACTTTTTTCTATTTATCTGTTATGTCGTGCTAAAGATTCTCATCAATGCATTGCATTTTTCTTTCTTGTGCTTCGGTTTATGCTGATGCCATGTTTTTCTGATTGTTTACTGGACTATTAGTGTCATTATTAGCTCCATCTCTCAATGACAAAAGTTTCTCATACAATGGCGATGTACCTCGTTGAAAGGATCATGCTTGGCGGTAGCACGAGGTTTGGTGCATGAGGAAGTTTCTGCTAATAAGTGAAGCATTCGAGGTTGATGTCTGGTGGTTCTGGAAGATGCATGAGGGAGTTGTATGGGCGATTAGATTGCATTTAGTGCAGTGTCAATGAGGTCTCGGGCATACAAATTGCACAACTGCCATAGGATAAGTTCTTTGTGGTAATAACATGAAGGATGGATTATTTTTATTTTTTTGCCAGTTGAAGGATGGGCTATTTACTTTGTAAATTTTGAAAGAAAAGCTGTGCGAGGGTCTAAATACAATGTTTGGAAATGGTCAACCCAATTTCTTCCTGGCATTTTCTCTGTTGACGCAATGGAGATGCCCATCACAGTTGTGCATACTGCATAGTACTTGTCTAAAAGAAAGGTATCTGCGCGGTAAGATCCCTCTTGCAGTTTTTTGGCTGGTATCTCCGATACCTCAGCCGTTAAAAATCATAGTCACTCTACTCTTTTAGTTAGTTTTAAGTATGGACATCATAGTTTTTAGTGCAGGGATTTAGTTAACTCAAATAGAGTCCCCATCTTGTAAGTAACTTGGAGTAAACAAGCAAGCATTCACATTGTGCCAAATTAAGTAGGGATTTTCTTCCATGTTGTGAAGATGAGACTCTTTTAGACTCCGTTTGTTTATAATGATAAGTTCCTGGTTTTGATTATTTATATCTATTAGTAAAATGAGTTAATGGAAAATGTTTTCTTGTGTTGAACTGCTGGTGTTTTTGAAGTTCAAACTAATGTGTCAAACTGCTTAGAGAAAGTGAGCCACCAGTTCAAGAAAGATGGGGCGCTACTATGGAACTAGTTGATTTTGATTAGTAAGTTAATACATGACCATTTAATTGAGTATAAGTCAGCAAAGCCTCCCGCAAGGAGTAGGAAAAATGAGATGTTTTTCAATTGTTGTCTGCACTGTTTTAGTCTGTAACTTGTTGGTATCAGTCAAAGTTCTATATGTAAAAAGAAGATGCTACCCTGGTTCAATGAAGGAAAACAAAGCTCCTAACCAAGATACTCTAGCTTTGCTTTTCTTGAAGAAATTTTATTTCCTGTTTATGCTTTTCCCTGTTGAAACATGATTCCGCACTGAAAAAGTTAGTTCCTAGAAAACTTCGAATTTCTCACTTGTGCAATTGTAACCTGTTTTTGGGAGGTTCTGTACCTTGTAATCTGGCACTGCTGGCAATTGGAGTAGTTTTACCATTTTAATCACTTTAAACGGTTTCTCACTTTAATTAAGGATACCATTTCCATCTTCGTCTAGGATTAGTGAGGTTCCCACAATTGGATTGGAAGACTGAATCTTAAGATCTTAAGATTTTTTTAAATTATAAATATAATTTCTACAGACAGAATGATCGTAAAAGTATACATGATTAGACCAAAGAATTAAACGAACTAAGTGGTGAGGTTTCATAGCATCAACACCAACATTGACGGCATATAATTGGATGAGTCAAAAACTTGCACAAGTAAATCTATTTATAGCACCTGAAATTGACTTTTTCAGAAGTAATATTAACAGTAAGATAAAACCTAAAAGTTTAAATTTGTTCACATGTAAATTATATTCTCAAATTGACAGTAGCGCTAAAATGTATCTACAGATGAACTCATGAAGAGAATATAATATCCTAATAGCAACACTCTACTCCAAAAGACTCAAATTTCTGTGGAAGAAAAACTTATATTAGCTTTTCTGAAAAGTTTCTCTGATTAAGAAAGTTTAAGCACACACAGATATATCAAAAAGTTCGTTCATGCAGTTCTAAAGTCGGAGTCTCTTCACTTTCCGGTGCTACTGACATTCTAAAGTGCAATTTTGGGGGCCGATGTTGGTGGTGCCTCTACCATTTATGAACAAGAAGAAAGCACGAAAAGTGAGCTTTCTTTTAGTATGAACGGAAACTAGAAACCCTATTTGTCCGTAGGAAGAACAGAAAGCCCTTTCCTGTGTTGATTTTTAGAAATTATACAGGTAGGCATTGGTGAACCAATGTTCCACTAAAGCCTGATGGGCTTATCTTACTTCGTAGAGCCGAAATCCCAAACAAAGTGCACCTTGCCAGCAAAAACGATTACCAGTAATTCAATGTGAGGCAACTCGCAAATTCAATGTTTTAAGAAATTTTTGCGAATTACCGGTTTACCCCTGCAAATGATGTTCTACCGAGTTAACATGATTCTCAGGATCCGATTTGTAAGATCATATCAGTTCTCAATTTCAACTACATTGGTTTAGAACCCTTGCCAACTTAACCCCTAATAATCTTGATTTATAAGAAGACCAGTGTATCAATGTCAGCCTAGTTTTCTTTTACCAGAGAGTATGAAAGTGAATTGACAAATGTAAAGCCATTATATTTAATTCCAATAGAACTTTTTCTTAACTTTTGATCTCCATTCCTTCTATCCAAACACCTGGAAAAGAATTACTTTTTTCATGCTCACTCGCTTCGACTTTCCTTTGTTGCTTTCTTCTTCACCAAATGCTGCCTTAATAGAACACGTCCGTAATGAGTGGTTACTGCCAGGACTTCATGAAGTGGAAGAGGCATTTTGTAGAGTTGAAAGCTGTTGCTGATTTGCTTTCGAACCTGTTGTATATACAGCAGGGGCATATTTAATTAGATGCTGATGTGAATTGCATCAACAGTATGGCCGGAGTTCTTGGTTTAACTGTATTGGCTGCTTGCAGGATCTGGAATGCCTATTTAAAATTTTGCTACTTTTTATGTACTTACTCTTTGGGACATTACGATATTGTGGGATTTGACTCTCGGGAGAGACTTTAGACATGAAAGGCAGTGTGCTAGAGGCTTGAGCCTTTTCATCGAGTGCATTTTGAGGAGTCTAGTGTGTGCCCGCTATCTGCTGCTTTTGGCCAATGCTCCAGTCCTGTGTCTGTTTTGGGAGAGCAACAGCTTCAAGGGTGGATGGAATGGAACAGCTTGTGTCGTACATGTCTTATAAAAACCTTTGGCGAAGGTCTGATCCGGTGGTAGGGCAATCCAGCCGTTTGTCTGGCTCTATATCCCGGGACAAGTCCCAACTTCCCCCATTACCATTGCCTGTTCCAGTTTACATATTACAGGCAGAAAATTGAAGTTGGCGGGTGATGATTCAGAGATATAACGAAAAAATACATTATGTGAATTGCTTGGTTGTGGCAATTTGCATTATTTCTTAATGAGCAAAGTCACTACATTTTTCTGCTTCAATGCTATTCCTAACGCTAGTATGAGACTCATCCTTGAATTGAAAGTTCTCTTTTTGACCATTTGCAGGAAATCACTTCGATTCTTGTAGCTGATGGTGTTTCGAGTGAGAAGATTTTGAAGAACTTTTGATCACAATGGATGAGGTCAACGTGTTGTACCTATTATTTATTTTATTTATTCCAGCTGCTGAAAATCAGTAACATTTCAGCTCAGGAATAGAATAATAAAACCAATTTTGGACATTTTTGCTCTATACTCTGCATGTTAGAATTCCATGGAAAACAGTCTTCCAGCAGATTATAACAAGTAACAAAAGATTATTTTTTTGACTCTCTATCTCTGCTTCCTATGGTGATGAGTGAAATCACCAGCTGGACTTGCTCATCTTTTTGTAAATTATGCGAGGTCAGCATCCCCCCACTGAAATGCAAGAAGATATCTAGAGAGAATTATCAATAATTATAATTGTTGCTAATCCGTCCTAATGAGGCTCGCCCTCTAAGTACTTCCAAGTTGTCGCTGATGTTCAACGCTGGTTTTCAGGGTAGGCAGGTACTTTATGCTTGCAAGCTTTCAAAACAAATGCCTACCTTCGGTGGAACTGCAGAACGTCTCTTGTTTCTTTGGCTATTCCGCAGCTGTCCTTGTCCGTGTACATTTATAGTTTCAGACATTAAAACATACGCTCACCTTCACAGTCGGAATGCCATTGGTCTCTTACCTTGATTGGAACTCGACCAAAACTGCCGATCGATTTTGTCTAAGTCGTCAACGGTCTGACGAAGTTGAGTTCCAAGGACAACAATGACATTTAAGTGGAACCTTATGGCTAAGTCTGGAATGGATCTACTTGATAAAAGACTTGGTCGGGAACGTGTTGCGCACATCCATTTTATGGCCCACGAACAGTCTGGAACCGTGGTACGTGTATTAGATTCCATTGTAGGATGCACTATTTTAAGGGCATTATACGGGAGCTTTTGTTCACCTACTTCGTTTGTCGCCTAAGAACATGTACTAAATAATTTGGCAAAGACTATAAGTACTATATGAGTTTATTTGTTGCAATTCGTAGCTGGGTCAACACTGTGATGTAGCAATGCTGTGGCGTTGAAGTTGGACGAGTCAATTTTTTAAAGAACGGTTGTAAATTGCTACAGCTACGACAATGAGAACGCTGAAGTTGCAAACTAGGACTTAGAAATCACAGGTGGCCACAGGAACTTTAAACCACGAAATTGGATAGAAAGCAAAGCTGAACTTGGAACGTTGCATGAAACCACAGATTCCGACCACATCGAGTAAACCAATGAGTTCAAGTTATTCGTGTGCACCCGCACTCATAAATGAAGCAACTAGGGAGCCCAGAGTTTTCATGCTCGGGCATCATGACAAACACCATCTTCTGCAGTTGGTTTGTCCATCGATTCCCCAATAGCTTCTCCAGGAGGCTGAGACTTGAGAGTACTGCCATTGCTGTTACCATGCCGCTGTTTGTGATGCTGGCCATGCTTGTGATGCTCAACCTTCTTGTGCTTTGACAGATTACTGGCTTCGTCATGGTTGTCGTCCGATGACTTGCCCACAGATCGACTCCTTCGACCGCGTCCATTCTCATCAGAATCTGATGGGTCCAAGTCCTGGCTGCGCGACCGTTTGCGATGCTTATGGTGCTTTGAATGCCTCTTCCTTCTTATTTCGCCATCTTCAACTTCACTTGAAGAACCTGAATCACTGGACTCCGAGTACTGCTGCCTCTTGTGATGCTTTGTATAACTCCTCTTCCTAACAGCAGCATCCTCCTCATCGCTCAAATCATCTGGACTACTCGATTTCACCTTCCTATTGTGTCTATGATGCCTTGCACGCCTTCTCCTCCGAATCTTCTCATCATCACTGTCTTCACTTGGAGAGTCAGCAGTAGAATCTGATCTTGAGTCATGATGCCTGCGCCTCTTATGACTTCGCTTCTTTCTCCTCTCTTCTTCAAACTCACTATCATACTCATCACTGCTATCATCACTAGTACCCGAAGATCCTCTCCTTTGTTTGCGCCTTGACTTCTTCTCCTTCCTCTTCTCATCATCACTGGAGCCAGAGCGGGCACGCTTCCTATGTTTCTTGTGAGATCGTCTCCTCTTTTTCTGCTCCTTAGAGTCAGAATCACTGTCAGTACCACTGTCAGAGGCTGACGAAGATCTCGTTCTGTGTTTTACAGCCTTCAACTTCCTTGCTTTAGCTTCAGCATCAGCCTTTGCCTTGGCAGCAGCTTCAAGCTTCTGTTCCCATTTCAAAGGCGCTTCCTTCTTCTCCAGAGCTCTCTTCTTCTTCTCCTCAACCATCTGAATGAACTTCTTGCAGTCCATTTGGACACACTAATAAAAACAAGCTCAACTCCTGCATTTTTGTATGATGACCGGAAGTACATCTCAAAAAAGAGAAAAAACAATGTTAGTTCCTCCAATAGAATAGCGCAATCCCAAACTTCATTATGGAAGCAACAATAACTAAGAAAACACTAAATGCATTCAATATTCAATCACACCATAGCTAGAAAGGAATAAAAAATCTTCCGCTACAGATCTCCTTCCCATCTAATTCATTCGTGTCAAAGTACAACAGCAAATAAGACATCATACTGGTACGTGACACACATTAAAATGTGACGTATTATTGAATACACGCAGACAATGTAAGAGGTTGTCTGCCAAGCATCCAAGTTTGACACTTGCTCATGATTCATCCTTTTATCTCAATAATATGCAGCATCCAGTCTAAGCTTACACCCAAAATCCACCACAATTTCACTGAACCCAGTATCCGCCGTATTCCCAATTTCCAATGGTTGTGAAGGATGACTTTGTGACCTAAATTCTTACATACAAGACTCTTAATTCCTCAGAGATCACATATCTGTAACTGAAAAAACCTACATATAATACTATAGAATTAGATCCTATCATCAAATTAGGTCCATTATTTCTAATTATTAATTGATTGGGGGTGGGGGTGGCAATTTGGCAAAGGTACAGAGCCGACAGATACATGTCGCTCCTACCATATCTAAGTTAAAGTCCCACCGACCAAATAACAAGATAAAGCCCCACAAAAGAAAACGAACTATCAACAAATAATGAGTTTGTAAATGATGCATTTATGACAATGCTATTTCTACAAAAATAAAGTGTTATATCTGTATAATCAAATTTATTTTATTATTAAACAATGAAGTATAGATCCTGCACATGGCAAGGACCATCACTTCAAGATGCAGATAAAGTTGACATTTTTTAAGCCAGTATGACCAAATCACTCATTGCACAATTGCCAACTGATCCTGAATATATCAATAACCTATCACAGCAAGCAACTGTCGCTCTAAAGGTCAACCAGGTGAGCGACTATTGGGATCAGGCTGATCAAGAAAAACTAATGAAAGTACAAATCACTAGGAATATAGACTAAAAAGTTGAAAGCAGGCGTTGTCAAGGAGTGCAAGGCATTGCCCTTCTTAAATATTAGAAGCTACTGATACGAAACACTCTACAATAACAGATGACTGCTTTTAGGGGTTTTACTGCACAAGGCCCCTGCAGAGGAAAGCTTTATTCCAGCGAATAGAAGATGGTTAGCTCCGCACAACATAGGGATTGGCATGCTTTCGGGAAGACATAGAATAGTAGAGGATCCAGCATGCGGAACACAGCGATCATTAGAAATTCACGAATTAGAGATGCCAAGATATACTCTTTCCCATAATTTCTCATAACAGACCAAACCACTAAAATGCAAATAGGGATAAGAAACGTGATCAATATCATGAAGAATAAAGAGATACCGTCTATACCCACATAAAAATTGATGTTTTCATAAGGAAGCCATCAAAAGATTTCCACAAATTGAGATTTGGCTTAGAAGGACCGAAATGTATATGAATAACGGAGGAATTCAAAAAAGCGATAAGAGAGGCGCACAGACCAATCCATCGCATCGGTCGTAGTCTTGAATTTGGAATGATAAAAAGAGTAATACAAAACACGGTCTCAAAATTCTCTTTAGAGATGATCCTCGATAAACTCTTTCTAACGCTACTCCGAGATAACTTAACAATCAATTCCAAAAAAGGAAGAGTTCCTGCATAAAGGCTCATTTGCCAACAAAATGAAGAAATACCACACGTTTTACTTCCCAAACTTGCCAATCTATCTTCAGACCGTCTCGGTACAAACACAAGTAGACGGTCATGCTCGAAAAACAGGTCACACCCTCATCTTTTTGCAGTAAGAACTTTAATGGTTACATCGGAGCCCAAAGGCAGTAAAAACCTACTCTTACTTACTAAATGAGCACAATTCATCACCTTCACTACACACAAGAAAGACTCTTGAGGTTTCCGAGCCATGAATTCTACGAATAAACCTGAGTCAACCGGAGCAATTAGATTAGGCTTCCTTACCTTGTGTGTACCGAGAAGCAACGTCGAATATCAGTGAGGACTCCGATGGAGCAACAGATCTGCCAATTCCAGAAAAATGAGGATAACGTCAGGTCACAAGAGCTCCATCAACATCACAAAACCTAATCTAACATCAGCAAACGAACCACAAGGCCCGAACTTGGCCCACTTTGCTCGGCACGGTCGCCTCAAAGCCAGAGCAGAAACTCTTCCCCTCTCGAATCAAACCGAAATCCTCACCCCTCGCGTTTCAAGTTCTTCCACAAACAAACAGTAAACCCCCTCCAGGATACGGAGAGCAAGGCAAGACGAACGCAAAGACCCCGGAACAGCGGAAACCCTAGCTCGGAAAGCACGAGAGAGAGAGAGAGAGAGAGAGAGAGAGAGAGAGGGAGCAAGCGAATCGGAGAGACGCGATGGCGCACCTGGATCGGCGGCGGGCGGTGGAGGAGCGGCGGAGGCGATGGGCGATCGGAGAACGCAGCTGATCACGAGCTCCTCCGGCACTAGGGCTGCTTCGACTTTCTTGTAGAGAGAGAGAGAGAGAGAGAGAGGGGTTTTGTTTCCAGACGCGTCTAAATATATTTTAGAGAGAAAGAGAGAGAGAGAGAGAGAGCTTGAAACGGGTAATCGGGTAATCGGGTCAAACGCGTCCGCGGTCTCGACCGGTCCGGGTCCGATCGAACCGGGGGGGCGGCGGCTTGGCCGGTAACCCCAAAGACCCCCAAATAATTTTTTTTGAACTAGTTCTGTTTTTGTGGAAACGACTTTCTAAAGCTTTTGTTATTCACGCAAAAATATGATTGTACTTCGGTTCTCTCTTTCCAATTACATTAACCATCTTCAGAGCTTCTGCCGGACCAACTAAAAAAAACATATTTCAAGTAAACTTAACCGACAATTTGATTGGGATCGTTATGTCCGATCGCTCGGGGATTACTGAACTGATTACACTCGACACAACAAACATCTTACAGGAAGGGGCACGGCTAGGAATCAAAGGAGCAATTTCTGGAAAAAAAAAAACAGAAAAACTAAGACAGAAACCCTTTCTTACCTAGAGAACCAAGGAGATGGTGCTCTATAATTCCGTAGAACATGAATGTGAATCACTCCCAGTTCCAATGTGCACGACCACTTTTAATGAAAGAATGTGCATTCCTCTTTTGTCCTGATCTTTGATGGGTGGTGTAGCCAAAGACGCTGAAGGCTTGAGAGACGATAATACTCGCGGACAATGATGCGAATGAAAGAGGAGAGGAGGCATGCGTGAAACATTTAAATAAAAAAAAAAGCAGTCGCTCCGGGTGGTTATTGATCCAGTTTCCCTTTGGAACCGATTCGGTCCGGTCCGGACGGTTTCTGTTTCGATCGGTACATCTTGCTCACCCTTGAACTTTAGGCTTGGTACCCAATAAAGAGAGAATGAATTCGAGAGTAAAAAAAGGTACTATTCTTATTTAGAATGTCAAAGTTTAAAATTATTATCCGACGATATTATTCGAAATCTTACCATAAATCAAAATCATTGAAGATTTCCAAAAAGAAGAAAAAAAGGGAAAATTTCAATTAAAGACCCCAAGTAGGGTCAAATTCTCAAAAGATGACCAAAAGTGAATATAGTGTCAAATAAGGGCATGAAGTGCCCAATCAGTCTCAAATAATGACCCGAAGTGCCCAAAAAGTCTCAAATAAGGGCCTGGGTCGCCGGCGGGCGAGAATGTTACTATTCCGGCACCGAAACAGTAAAATTTTTATTTTTTTATTATATTTTCCTTTCTGTTTTTTTTCTTTTCCTTTTCCTTTTCTTTTGTTTTTCTTCTCTTCCTCCGCCGGCCATAGCCGGGGCCGGCGGAGGTCGCCGGTCTCAGGCGCGGCCGCCCTCGCCGACGTAGGGCGAGGTCGAGCCTCGCCAGATCTGGCGAGGGCTCGGCCCCGCCGGCCGGGCGAGGCCGAGCCCTCGCCGAACCGGGCAAGGGCTTGGCCTCGCCAAAGAATCTGGCGAGGTCGAGCCTCGCCGGTCTGGCGAGGGCTCGGCCTCACCGGCGTCGGCGAGGCCTGGCTCGCCCGCAACCAGCAAGGCCGGCCTCGCCGACGCGGCAAGGTCGAGCCTTGCCGATTTGGCGAGGGCTCGGCCTCGCCGGCGCCGGCGAGGCCGGCTCGCCCGACGCCGGCGAGGGCGGCCTCGCCTGAGGCCGGCGACCTCCGCCGGCCCCGGCTATGGCCGGCGGAGGAAGAGAAGAAAAAAAAAAAGAAAAGAAAAAGGAAAAGAAAAAAAACTGAAAAAGAAAAACAGAAAGGAAAAAATAAAAAATTTTACTTTTCCGGTGCCGAAATAGTAACATTCTCGCCGGCCGGAGGGCATTTTGGCCGGCCGGCGACCCAGGCCCTTATTTGAGATTTTTTGGGCACTTCGGGTCCTTATTTGAGATTGATTAGGTACTTCAGGCCCTTATTTACATATTATGTTCACTTTGAGCCCTCTTTTAAGAATTTAACCCCATTTGGGGTCCTTAATTGAAATTTTCCCGGAAAAAAATGATAACACGAAACGCAAACGCAAACGCTGGCGCGTTCATCCTAGTAGCAGCATGCAAGACTGCAACGGAGCAGTAAGGTTTTCGATTCCGGACGACGTCGCTGTTCGCTCAGACAAGTCCGACGGTGTCGTGTCGTGTTTCCTTCGCCAGTAAGTTAAAAAAAAAAAAAAAAAAACATCCTCCTCCACCTCCGTCGCGACCCCTTCAAGGCCCAAAAAAAAAAACCAGTCTTTCTCTCTCTCTTCTTTCTCTCTCCTCTGATCGATCGTCTTCTACACTCCTTCCTGCCCCCAAATTCACCTCCGCAATCGATCGATCGATCGAGCAGGATGTCGGCGCCGCCCTCCTCCTCCTCCTCCTCCTCCTCCTCCTCCACCACCAACATCATGCTCGCCATCTTCGAGAAGAAGACCGCCGCCGTGGACCTCTACCGCCCCGTCCGCTCCTACATCGCCTTCAACTACTCCGAGCGCGAGGCCCAGAACCTGGAGGACGACCTCCGCGCCCTCCGCGACCTCCGCTCCGACCTCGAGAACCCCGCCAAGCAGCCCTCCCCCACCGCCCGCCGCGACCTCCTCCAGTCCTACTTCCGCGCCCTCTGCGTCGTCGAGACCCGCTTCCCCATCTCCCCCGACAAGGACCACGTCAACGCCGTCACCTTCACCTGGCACGACGCCTTCAAGCAGAAGCACAAGGCCTCCCAGCAGAACATCCACCTCGAGAAGGCCGCCGTCCTCTTCAACCTCGGCGCCGTGTACAGCCAGATCGGGCTCACCCACGACCGCTCCACGGTGGAGGGGCGCCGCCAGGCGGTCCAGGCGTTCATCGGCGCCGCGGGGGCGTTCGCTTACCTGAGGGACAACGCCGCCGCCAAGGCCTCGATGGGCAGCTCCACCACGGTGGACGTGTCGGTGGAGTGCGCCGGGATGCTGGAGAGGCTGATGCTCGCGCAGGCGCAGGAGTGCGTGTTTGAGAACACCATTGCCAAGGGGAGCACCCCGGGAGTGTGCGCGAAGATCTCTCGGCAGGTCGGTGTCTTGTTAATTCCTCTCGATCGCATTTGTTTGGATGTATGACTAGTAGAGTCCGTGAGCGTGCACTTGGTATGGACGGACTGATAGTGGATTGTTTGTATGCGATGGAGCGATCTATTCTCTCGGTTATGAAGTGGTCAAAATAGCCGAATTTGACATAAAACTGCTCTTGATTTGTGGATTCAATTTTCTCTTTGCTTGTGAATCCCCATGCATTTTGCTTTCAGAATCGGGAATCTGATGACTTGGAATAGGTGGTTTTTGGGGTTAAGTAACTGACGATTGATGTTAGGACTGTTGTTGTTTGGATTGTACAATGCTAACTTCTGGATTTCATTTCTGGTGGTTTATGGCTTATTATAGCACATGGTAATCTAGATTTTGTACTGAGCTAATATTAGTCCTTTCATGTGATGAAATTAGTGATCTTAGCACATAATACTTTTTCCAATACAAAACAGGTCGGATTGTACTATGAAGAAGCATTGGCAGCTCTGAATGTGGCACCTTTGAACCAACATTTTGACAAGGGCTGGATATCCCATGTGCAGCTGAAGGCGGCTTTTTTCTATGCAGAAGCATGCTACAGATACGGTCTAGAACTGCATGAGAAGGAAGAAATTGCCGAGGAGATTGCAAGGCTGAAGAGTGGGATTAGTACCTTATCAGAGGCCAAGAAATCGACAAAAGGTGCACCAGCTCAGCTTTTGGATGCAATTAACAAGTTGGAGGCAAACATTAATAGGAACCTAGACAGGGCCGTCAAGGAAAATGACAGAGTTTACCTTATGAGGGTTCCTTCCCCTAGTTCCTTGCCGCCCCTCCCTTCATTCTCTATGGTCAAGCCAATGCCGATGAATGAGGTTTTGGATGCCAGCAAGGAGAAGATGTTTGCAAGTCTTGTCCCTGATAGCAGTGCAAAAGCACTTTCTAGGTACACTGAAATGGTCGATGATATTATTCGAACTCAAGCTGAAAAGTTGCAGCAAGGAAGTGAACTTACCCGTGTGAGGCTCAAGGATATGGACCTACCGGATTCTATACTAGCTCTAGAAGGGCACTTCGCTCTTCCAGCAGATCTCAAAGAAGATGTGGAGGCAGTGCAGATCAGTGGGGGTCCGGCTGGTCTTGAAGCTGAATTACAGCAGCTTCGGGATCTGAGGCGAGTGAATCAAGAGCTTCTGGTTCAAACCGAAGAGCTTCTGCAAAAAGAAGCAAGAGAGGATGCCCAATTTAGGGGCCAATTTGGAACACGCTGGACCAGGCCTCAGTCCAGCACTCTGACGAAGAATTTGCAAGATCGGTTAAACAGATTTGCTGGTAATCTGAAGCAAGCAGCAGAAAGCGATGCCCGTATTGAGCGTTCAGTGAAAGATCATGCGGCACTCATGTCAATTCTTGATCGTCGGCCAGTAAGAGCTTTCATAGTTGCATTGACTAGGTTGCATTTTTTATGTAAAAGTTTGAGAGGATGCATCTAGCCAGCATGGTTATGACCCAAAATGTGCATGCCCAAAATTTTATACAGTCTACGGAGATCTCTTTTAGTGATTTATTTAATGGGATCAGGCCATTTTATTGAGCATCTTTTAATTGTATATGGATAACATACATAGGCTTTGTTGCGTATTTAGAAACTCACTCAATGAAAGCAAAATTCTTCAAATTGAATTGTTAACGAAGAAAACCTGCTAAAATTGTTCTTGTCGTAGTATGGCCATACGATCCTTGGGATGAGCTGTTCTCTCAACACAATACAGTAACGTATCATTCTCGAGAACATATTGGGCAATATCACACAACTTGTTAACCGGTAGCTCTGTCCGTTCTAATCAGTTGATGTCCATTTTCATCAGCCAGCAGTCGGCTACTCATTTTTGTTATGTTTGCAATGAAAAATTAGTCACGATCCTTTAACCATCTATATCCAGTTTGACTAATGCCACTCCCCTTGGCAGTTGGCAATGGGTGATTGTAGCACTTACC